ATATATATATATATATATATATACTCCTCGGTACTACTAAGAGACAATAAAACATTTTGCATACATAGAATATATTGTCAATATTGCCCTGTATGTGGATAAAAATTTCACATAAAATTAATCACATAACTAATAACAAGATGAAGTTCAGGATGAACAAAAAGAGCAGGACAAGGCATCAGTATCTTCTGGAATCAGGTCCTAGTGATTTCGTCTCTCTTCCATTGTTTATTCCTTTCTTCTAGATTCTTTGAGCCAGAATAATCCATAGATTTATAGATGTGGAATCCATCATCCAATGCATCAGTGTGGCTCAACCTTCACTTAAAAAACACAGTGCCATAAAGAAAAAAGCTTCATTAGGGTGCGATCCTCAGTTCATAGTTTCACCCATAGAACACCTCCATTTCAATCAAAGAAATCGGAAAGACTGACAATGTGTGATGTTCTCCAAAGTGTTCCAATGGATCATCATGGAAGAGGTTCACGTGACTTTAATATTCCACATAAAATACATTATTTTCTCCAGTTCCCATCCATAAACATGAGATAACTAAGGCCTCAATGGAAAAGGAAAGGCTTCTGGGTGTCTGTAGTCCAAAGTAACCAGATGTATGTCCAGCAGGCCTCTTCTCACACGCATCTCTGTCAGTGGTCCTCTCCGTGAGGCTGTTCTCCCAAAAGTCAAAGAGTTAAGAGTCTCTCACATGTACAGGCTGTCTGATCGGAGAATGGTGGTCTCCAGATTGTGAAAGCTCTTGCCGTTTAAAGTCTCCATGTGGCTGTCGATGCTGTAACATCGATGGACCTCCGTCATGGAGGAGGCCGTGTAGGATGCAGAACGCAGGGCATCGGTGTTCGCAAATGTGCTGCCAAACTGGATGCGGTACTGGTTCCAGTGTCTTCGTAATACACCTTGCACCTAAACAAACAAAATGCAGACAGATATTAAGCATAATGACAAATATCTTTATGTTTTGAGCTACAAGTAAAGAAAGCATTCAATGAGTGCATTGAAATTTTCAAACAAAAATTTCTTACCTCGCTATTGAAAAAGCAAAATATAGTGGCAACCAAAAGGCCCTGTGTAAAAAAAAAAAATTATAAGCTTCAAAGTTACAGTTTTTTTTCTAGTGTAAACCAAAGTGTATGGAGGAGTATGAGTGCCATTAAAATATAAAAGAAAAAAGAAAACAATTATTAATGTATTAATTAAAAAATAAAAATGTAAATAAATCACTTTTCACATTAACAAAATTGTAGACTTTATAGATTTAAATACAATTTAATTTAAATAAGATTTAAAGATTTAAATAAGATTTAATAGACTTAACTGAGAATAAAAGTGTTTAACTACTGATTTAAAATTCCGTCAAATATAACAATAAATAATATATCATTAATACTTAATACTTTGCAACATTTAAATAGTTTTTGTTTATAAATTTTAATTTATAAATTCTAATTCAGTTTTTTTTTTTAATAAAATATTTACAAATTGCTTTTCTTTTTTCATTTGCCAAGTGATTAAAAAATGCCATTAGGTCTTTGATTGATGCAATTTGATGCAAGTTGTATATAAAAATTAGGTTTTAATTACTTATTTTATTGTTAGATTTAACTACATGTTTGAACATGAATTAATTAAGAGTTTCAAATATGTATATTTATTTGATCCATTAATAAATTGAGAATTGATTCCTTGCCTGTTGTCAACAACACTTACCTGGTAATGCATAAGTATGTTCATAGTGTGCATAAATATCTCGGAGGCGAGCCGTCCGTCTGGTTTGTAGGGCAGCAGTAAGTACTGAATGCCCAGCAGAGGTACCAGGATTAAGGTGGCCCTGACGGCCCTCATGTACAGACTGGATTCTGCC